TTTTTGTCCTAAGAAACGTGTGCCACGTCAGTGTCACGTCAATTAAATTGCCAGACATGTTGGCATTGGTCGGCCAATGATCGGGTCAATGCTTCATTTTGCAAACAAACCAAAAGTTGGGTACCGAAGTGCCCAAGTCCTAAAGTCGTGACAGAAGTACAAAAGTCGATTAGGTCGTGATGTCAGATGCAATTTTGCTGAAGATAAAACACAACTAGAAATAAATGAGCCAAATTCGTAGGGTGCATCATAATACAAAAAGAGTAAATAGTTGAGCTAAATTTTTCACGCCGTCAATTAATAAGTTAATTTTTTTAACCCCATTAGTGTGAAAAAAATTATGCGATAAATTGTGCGACAGACATGTGAAGTTAATTGGTAAAGTGCAAAATAAGTATATGATATACTATACGATAGGCAAACAAAGTTAAGTGAGCAAGTGCAGAATAATTATATGATAAAGTATAAGACAAAAAGAAGAAGATAATTGAACAAGTGCGATCTCATTATATTATAATGTATGCGACAAATAGACAAAGTTAATGGTGGAATTGCGTAAAATTGTGCGATAAACTGTGCAACACATAGGCGACGAATATGTAGAGAATTGTGTGAACAGTTCGGTAAATCGTGGATCTGTCGCATTTTATTCGCAGATCAGCTTCTTGCACCTATTTTTATACTTTTCTAGTTTCTCCTCAATTTTCTACTTTTCGTGTAAGATCTAGAAAGGTCATCCTCTCGGGAGTTGTACCTGAACGACATGAAGGATGTTTCAACATCTTCAATCTAGTGCGGCTAAAGTTTTTAAGAATAGAAATCCCCAAAGCAATGAGGCGAAAGATCGTGGGTGGGATCGAGATCAACAACTAGAAGACCTAATGAAAAACGATAGGGACGACAACTTGTATGAACTAATCATGCATACGCTGATAAAAAAAAAAACGAGAGCCATGAAACTAATACATGAACATCTGATCGGGATGCGGAGGTAGACCATCTTAACCATGAAAAATACAAAATACATTCACTCTTTTTTTTTTTTTTTTTTTTTTNNTTTTTTTTGTACATAGTGACAAGGATGATGAATTTTTTTTGACTTCATTCACGTTTGATACCTGACGTTTCAAGTTATCTCATAATCATTTATGCAGCATTTATGTAGTATTTGTAATATTCATGCAAAAATGATTGTTCGAATAAAATGGGTTTGCCACAAAAATGCGAGTCATTATGCGATTGTTTGGCTACGAAAATACGATATTGTTAAAAATTTGTAAATTCTAGCATGGTTGATCTCCAAATGTGTTGGCGGTGTTGTTTTTGGTAGTCTTTGGTGTGCAACTATTGGCTGCTTAGAACGTGGTCTTCGTGGTGGGTTCTGTTTAGCTAGAAGAGGGAGAGTTTTATTGTATTTTTATCATTTTTTGTGTTTTTGTTATTCTCCAGTGTTGCAGTTAATGTTCTCCACTTTTGGGAGTATTTAATATTTTTTTAGTTTGTGTTTGTGTTTTGTATTTTCGACTATTTAGGCTAGCTTACTGTAAATCTCTGTCTAGATTCAAATTAGTAGTTGACTTGTACGATTATTTCTAGTTGTTCTACATGTAATTATTTGTGTTATTTTTATAAAAATCTATCGTTTCGAAAGAAAATAATAAATTCAAATTAACAAACATAAATTCTGCGATTAAACTGCGTAAGATAACGCTACGACAGACTGCCAAAAGTGATACGGATAGATGTTCTGTGATTGTTACTCGACAATTGTTCTGACGCATATTATTAGTCGATAGTTGTTCTGACGCATATTGGTCGCATAGTTATTTCATTCAAAAATAAAAGTGAATTCGTTTCAGATACGCTACGACAGACTACTAAAGTGATAGGAATATTGAATGACAAAATCATTATATTTATTTCTTTATAAAAAAAAATACGTCAGAACTGTGATTAACAAAACTACTATTTTTATTTTTTATTAAAATATATATTTATTAGGCGAAACTTCAACGCATAATAATCGCAAACTAATTATTTGAAATATTTTATTTTTAACAAGTTTCGTACTTAGCGATTATTTGTTCTGGTGCGATGGACAAACAATGGCTTGAACGGATCGACATGGGACGATATTGCAGAAGAATTTCTCAAGATCGACCCTCGGGGACAAGGGACATAATAGGGCGAGGGTATTGTCATGGCTAGAGATTCAAAAGGGGAGAAGAGTCACTAGAGACGACAGCAAGGAAAGCCTTGGATTTATCAGAGGAGAAGAAGTGGCTGAAAAGGAATTGGGAACGATCGAGGTTAAAGCCCAAGGCATTGGGATGTATATTCACGCAGCTATTGGGCTAAAGAAAATTGAAGGGGTTGGGCCGGATATGGCAACTAAGCCCAACAAGGAGTTACAGCCAATTATTAAGGAAACTCAGTTGTTTTCCTCCCTCATTCTCTTTCACTCTCTTCCATCTAATCTATCTTCTTCCTCAACAATTCTCTACTACAATTGACTACAGAAAATTATAGAAAAACACAAAAAACCTAACAGAATATGTCAGGTCTCTTGTGGCCCAGAGCTATCCTTATTGATCCAGACAATATTATGAAAACAGGTTTCCATATGTGCTCAAACACAATCAATGTTCTTTTCCGCCGTAAATTTAATAAGAGAAAAGAAAATGTGCTTCACGCGTCCCAATTTAGATATTGCAATTGCTCTCTAAAAGTAAATGAAAACAAAAAAATAATCTTCAGTTCGCTAATAATTTCCTCGACGACAATTCCAATGTCATCCAAACAGAGACCAGAATAGTCGGCAACTGTCAAGACAACTGACCCATCATCTCTCAGTAATGGAGGCAATTTTTCGAGATATCATGGACTCGGCCAGATCTATTGCTTTTTGAGAACCTGTAATGGTAACTTTCCTGCAAGAAGATGCAATGCATTAGATATTATGAGGGTGTTTGTTTATAAAATTTTTCAATGCATACTCAAAAATCTAAATCAACCTTAATCAAACCCGACTATCTTCGATATTATTAATATCATTAAATAATAATTCTTACATATTACGTCAGCTTTAATTCACTATTCATCAACTCACATAATTTTAACTAACCATTAGATCACATAATCTCTCTCATATTACATCAAATCAACTTTTATTTTAAATATTATTTTAATATAAACCTAAAATCCAACTAACAACTAACCATACCACATTTTTTTAAAAAAAATTAACCTAGATTAACCAAAAAAAAATTTGAGCGGTGGATATATTTATATCCAAACACAGCCCTATGTCTTCATACAAAATATTTACAAATGACCATCTGACTTGTACCTGTCGGACGTCCCAGACATGAAATCCCCCCTCTCGGATATCTTTATCCTAGCTCCACTAAGCTGAAACACATAAAAACGCACAAAATTGGCAACGGGCTAGAGAAAGATAAATGAAAGACCTGCAGTGCACACACTATAGAACACACCTGACTCAGCTCCATGATATTCCGTCCACCACGACCAACTACTATCCCAATGTGTTCATCTGCAATGCCAATTGTAATAGAACTGCTGTTATCATCCTGCACCTGCACCTGCACGTTAAACGCAATTATACTCCTAAGAGAAGGAGATCCAACAAGATCTCACATTTCATAAAGTTATTTCACCACATTCAAACTCTTAAAAATAAATAAAATCCGTGACAACTATAGCTGTACTCTGTGCATATTGCAGCCCTTGAGTATTCATATTGTTAAGAATACAGAATTTTAAGATACGACATTTTGCTTAAAAAAGAAAAGAATGAAATGAGAACAAGAAGCATGCACAAGAAGAAGAAAATTAATCACAAACCTTGTTTGGAAACCTGCTCTGCTGATACTTTCCCACAACTCCATTCGCTCCATAGTTCATACCATTGTACATAACTGCTGGAAAAATGAAAGTTGCAACAAATGAGATAGCGTTTAATCATGTTGAGGACATATATATACATATTACATATATATATTCCACAACCTACACAACAAATTAAAAATAAATAGACCAACCAACAAGGGCCTACGCACTACATCTGTTAGGTTTTATTTAAGATGATATAATAAAACAAGAACAAGCAGGTCTTTTGCATGCACCTTAATAAAAATATATAACGATCAGTGCTGTAAGAAACAAGCACTAGTGTCTTTTATTCATAGCAGAAGTTTATTGTTCTGGGACCGTTAGAACTCATCCCCAAAAGCTAGCTCAAAGGGAGAGGGTGCCCACCCAGTCACACTTATACATGACCTAACTTCTAACACCTGCCCTCACGTGCAGCGTGCCAAAACCAAATGGCCCGGGTCCAAACCCAACATGGCCTCCAAAAAAAAAAAACTTAGGTGCTCTAATACCACGATAAATGGGCCTGGGTAGAACTCATCCCTAAAAGCTAGGTCAAAGGAAAGGGAGAGGGCGCCCAACACACACTTATAATAACAACCCAATAACTAATCGATGTGGGACAAATATAACTTCTAACAAAGATAATTGAGGTAAAGTGTAAAAAGAGAACTATGACATGATGTTTGCACGATCAGTTACAGTTACAGAAGTGGAACTTCACAAAAAGTGCTTCAGATAGGTTTGCAGCTTCAATATGTGGTATCTAAATTTTATGATTCAGACACCATGTGGAGTTTCGTCAATTGAATTTAAGGCAAAAAAACCACTCAGGAGAAAGATCATGCATCATCATAAAGGAATGTCATCATCTATCTATAATCTATCTATATCTATATCTATTCTATAACTCTTAAAAGGAAAGTAGTTTCTTGAAACTTTTGAATTGCCAAGAATGCCCTCACTAAAGATAAGTTTTAAGGTTATTAATGTACTTTTCTTATTAATGTTAAGAAGTTACAACTAACAATATTTGTTAAGTTTATAAACCTCCATTTCGTAATTTACTTTTATTCATTATCGTTTATTTTTTATACTTAATTACATCTTAAGTTTTTACACATACAAAAAGATTATTTACATAAATTTATAGATTTTAAATAAATATATGTTATTAATTATATTAGTCAGAATTAATACATTAGGTTGTGGTTTGATTTTTTTAAAGGTTGTTTTTAAATGTATGAGAAAATATTATTTTAATTTTTTTTTAAAATAAATTGCTATGATATTACAAGAGTATAAAGAAGTTCAAACTGCAAAACAGAACTTGTCCAAAGGATCATGGTGATGGTTTTCATCAGGCAACTTGAGAAGGTAATGCATGCAACACATTTTTCATGAAAAATCATGAAAAAAACTGAATATGATTTGTATGTACGTCTCATGGGTAGAAATGTATGCAAAATCTCACAGCACAGTGACAAGTGGAGATGGTTCATGAACCAAACTTTAAACAATGGTGCATATCCAACTTCACTAATTCTATAGTAATATTGAAAAAAGAAAAGAGCAGTCCAGGAAAGTAAATTAATTCAAGTCCGAACAATGCACCATCTGTTTGATAGGAGAACTCTCTCATGTCGTGTAAATTTATAAAATTCCAGAAGCTACGGAATTTATTTGCAGAAACCCGTTTTTTCCTCCTTCTTTTTTAATGTGCAGTGAGGTGCGCCTCTGCATCGCCTTTGGCGAGAGAGGCGTTAGGCGCGCCTGCCTCGGCGACAGAGTCACCTCTGGCAGGGCGAGGCGATTTTACCTCCTCCTCGGTCGCCTCTCACCATGTCGTCGCCATTTAAAAACTATGGTGTTATCAATGGCAAATGGCAGAAAATGGCAGCAGGCTGAAATCCCATCAGAGCAGCCGCCTTGATGCCTGCTATGGCGGCCTGTGGCACCGCCATAACCATCATCCTCCTATTTTTTAATTTACTAAGTGTTTTACTGCTGAGCAGAATCGTATTCCTTTAATGCAACAATCAATAGCACCAGAAAAGATAAGGGTGATCCATGTTAAACTAATTTGATTACTATGGCTATTTGGCTGATTCAGTAAACCCCTATAAGGTTCACAAGATGTACCATAGCGAGAAAGAGACAGACAGAGAGAGTATCATTTAAAAACAAAAGAAGCACAAGTTGCAGCAACATCAAAGGTAGATAGAGTTACCAGCATAAGGAAAAGGAACATTCGCTGATTGATGGTAATATTGATCATCTACCAATTTCAGTAGAATCAACTCAACTGCCCGCATTTGTTCACCTAAAGCACCGGTCACCGTCACTAACCTATCATGCAAGCCAGGGTAATAGTTGTCCTGCGGTGATATCTTAATGGCAGCTCTGGAGTCTTCTATGAAGGACCTGTTCAACAATTGAACAAGTTACATTTTCAAATTTAGTGAACCCATTTACTTTTCTGATTCTGTCATTCAAAGGAATGTTTTGCTTCTTCACTAATAGTTCCAAAGGTCGGTTGACTATTGCATACCCCAGTCAAACACAATAAACAAATCTCCTTTCACCAAAAGGATGAAAAAGAGCAAAATATATATATGTAAGAGAACACATCTATTGTCCATGTATTATGAAATCATATTGTCGTATAAAACAACAGTACTTAACACGAGCATTTCAAATCGAGAACTTAAAAAAATTATGGAGAAGTCACTAACAATCTGTTGAGCGTGAGAAGGGGGTAAAAATGCAAATTGACGATTTATGGGACAGATATATATCAACGTTTTTAATAGTGATTTAATATCTAGAAGACTGATAAACATCTTAACGCATATGAAAGCAAGGAAGGCTAACCTTATGATGGAACCACCCTTCCCAATAATTCCACCGCAAGAGTTATTGGGCACAACCAGTTTTATTTTCGATTCTGGATCAGTTTCACCACCATCCTGATTATAAAACTAACCCAAACAGAAAAATATACATTTAGTAAATGTATCTAAGTACTCATCTCAAAAGATGTACAATTCTCATATACCTCATCAAGCAATTTAGAGAGAATGAGATCAACTGCCTTTAATATGTCATCAACTCTCCCAGAGACCGTGATAACTCTGTCAGCCGTGCCTGGAAAATACTCATAGTTGCGTGACAACTGGATACGTGCTCCAGATTGTGACTGAATATCATTGATTGTTGAACCACCTTTTCCAATTACAGAACCAGCTTCAGCATTTGAAAGAAGGAACCTAAGATAAGTGGTCTTCTCTTCATTGTCTGCTCACCAACAACAAAAAGAATTTTCGCAAGAAAGTATAACAAGTGACATATGTCAAGAAGAGAACATAAAACAGAGCATATAAAGCAGGTAATCATCAAACAGAAAGATCATCAGCATACTTCACTGCGACATTTTCGGACAATCATAAACAATAGAGTAAGAACAAACATATGTCAATGGAAAATTTTATCATTTTCACATAAAATGCATCATTTTTCTGAAATGCAGAGAAGAAACAGTAGGTGTAGCTAGCTCCAGTTCACAATGTAATGAGAATAGCATGTGCCAAGGAGCTCTGATTAGAAAAGCACTAGCAATATCGCATACACTCACGTCTCTATTAGTTCTTAAAGTCAATGGATTCCGCTATAAATCATTCAAAATAAATATTGCATTAAAGAGCACTAACAACTCACAGCGATCAAGAGTTAAAAATACAAAGAAAAGCATGGAAGGAAAATGCATATGAACCCTGACCAAAATAGATTCACAAATCAAATACCTAAGGCAAACCTAAATAAATATATTTTCTGTGCCATCCCAAAAAAGATGTTACATCATACAAATGCGAGAAGAATAGAAACTATGGAAAAGTAATTCATTTCTTGGTAACACAGCTTACTTTACCAGACATGATTTGATCAAGAAGAAAAAGTTCAATGCTAGATTTAGCAATTATCACATATTTTCAATAGAAAATAAATTGTGTCATAACAATGAATAACTCTTTAGTGAAAGCTAGATCCATTGACCCCAGATGTTTTAAACTTCCAAGGCATTGTAATTGACATATGACCAAGAACACAACTAAAAGAATAACTGAGAGTGTGACTGGGGTATTATGCATGATATCCAGGATGAGCAGGACTAATTCATTGCCTCCAACAAATACCTTGATATTAAGCTTCTAACATAAGAAAAGTACAGCATGTTAATCTATCATTGAAAGCAGGCTTCTTATACTAAAACTAGCAACGAAGATCCTACATCTGTAAGAGCCTGAAAATGAGATTCATTATACAAATCTTTTCCTCTAATCTTTATATGCAATTAGACCTACCGCCTTGGTAGGCTTTCATTCTCCAGGAGCAAAATCCTTCTGGATTTAATAGAGGTTAATAGAAAATCCTTGTTCTGCTCATTTTGGATATCAAACATGGCCCTCCGCTCAGTCAATTCTCAGTTATGTACTAACGTCGTATGTCAATTACCATGCCTTAGATGTTTAAACCAATCTGGGGTAAAAGGATCTTGACTTATGTACAGGGTTAATCAATTGAAAACCTGTTCCAATTCTATATAAGTAACTCACACAGAACGAGGGACAAGTATGCCTTTCTCTTACGAAAAGGTTAGCATCTTTGCATTGACACAACAAGGCGGCATAATCCAAATTTAATAAACTCAAGCAACAATACCAAATATTCTTACACAATCTTGTATTGCAGTGCCAAAAGAAATATAGATAGGGATGACTGGACCAAATTAAAAGTAATCTTGTAAGTTATGTATCCTCTTCTACATCTTTTACTTTTTGTTTTCTCTCATCTGTTGATTTTCCCCACTATTTTACTACCAACGTCTAGGTTTGTACTAGCTGCACAGTATTCTCGTATCATAGTGGTAATTATATTCTGAGGTGACTACATTAACAATGCTTGAATAATAACAAAACTAAACTATGGTTGTTTGATCTACATCGCTGGTTAAGTTACAGTATGCAATATAAGAAAACTAACAACTGTAAGATTTGTGAAATAACAAAAAAATGAAGATACAAGTCACTGATATATAGTTTAATCTAAAACCTAACCAAATTGCAAATGTAATATATACGGTGAATTGTACATGTTATGCTAAAAGCAAACATCCACTTGGGTAGCATCTAAAAATGAAATTTCGAAGTGAATAAGAGTGGTTACAAAGAAGTTTTCACCTAACTAACCATATAGCAGTTGAAATATATCACATAGCAAATAATATGATTATACTCTTATGTACAAGATTATTTTTGACTTCCAAGCAACAAAAATTTTCACACATCTGCATAACGTAAATAACAAATTCAAAATATGGAAATATGTACGATAATTACAGAGAATATCCTGATTTCCTTTTGTCTTCTACATAATCAGATTTGAAGTGTCAACATTATGGTGAATATTTACATAATTCCCATTGAGAGTAGTTGTAAAAATTTGTCCCACCATTATGACAAAACAGGTTTGGTAGATATTTCCATCTACAGCATTATTTGTGGATTTGCAGAAGACAAAATAAGCATAACTTTCCAAAAAAGAACCAGTTTGCAACACTAATTTAGTTACTTTGCTAGGACTACCTGTCAATGTAAAAATACTTCCATATTTAGAGCCTACTGAGTAGTCCTCATTATTTATTCTCAGGAATATGCAGTAAATCACAAGTTAAGCTCAGCATGATATGTCAGACTGTCAGTCCTGAATAAGATTAAAAAATCACAAAAGCTAGGAAACAAACGAACACATGTTACAGTAAGAGCCCATGTAAATTCCTAGGGTTTCAATCTCAGCTAATTACAAACATCAAACGCAGAACGACAGCATAAGACTAGTTGGCGCAGCTATTTGACCCCCATGAAACACACTGGAGCAAATGAAAACACAAATTCCGCATGAAATCTGAAAATATTCTCAACACAAATCAGATCCCGCACCACAGATCTCCAGAGAAAATTATATGATAACCGAATCAGACGCCGCACATATGCATCTCAACGAGACCACAAATATAAAATACGGAGCGGGAAGGGGAACCTGGAGGAGGAGGCGACGACTCGCGCGGCGGCGATTGATCCTGCAGAGCCTCAGGCGACACCGCACCGTGCTCAGATGTATTTCCTTCCATTGCTATCTTTACTTTTTATCTATATTTATCAGTGTTGGTATATGTATGTATGTATGGGTAAAAAGAGATGGGGGTGAGTGATAAATAGCATTTATTTATATATATATAGTCAGAGCAATTGAAATCTAGAGAGAAGCCTAAAGTTGAACAAATGCCAACCTTTGCACGTGTATGTGTTATAGCCTATAGGTTGAGCCGTTGAGCTGTTGCCCTTTCAGAGGGCAAAGGGTGTATATGTAAAGGCCCAGCCCATTCCCCGTGTGGACTTATGCCTCAAGTAACTCGGCCCGGTATGATTGGATATGAATTTGATCCAAACAAATCAATTGATGCCTCAAGTAACTCGGTCCGGTGTGATTGAATATGAATTTGATCCAAACAAATGAATTGTTTTAAGAGAAATTTACCCTGCAAACGAGATCATTTCGTTTTTATTGCATATATATATGTACGTCATAAGTATCATATTAGCAAATTTATGACAACGGATGAATTTATTTGTATTTTGTACCGTCAAATAATTATTTTCATTTTTTTTTTTTAGTTTTTTAATATGGTTGGGTTGCGATTTGTTTTGGAAAATCCTATATTTAAAGGATCGACAAAAAAGATAACCTTAAGCTTAGAAAAAGTTCACCAGTCGCCAATAGTGAAGGTCGGTTAAACCCGCGCCATATCATAAAGGATCGACAAAAAATATAAAAGTTCAACTCACCCGGTATGGATTGGCAAAAAAGCATACAACCTGTGTACCAAGGAGCCCTAGCAGCTAGCTCGACAGGAACTCAAACAACGAGTTCAAAGACCACTAAGCTCAGTAATGACCAAGCTAAGCCAATAATAAGAGCATGTGGTATGAAGTCATCCTAATTCAAGGCAGACATATCTCATAAATGCCATCTTTATTCTCAACTCAACCCAACTCAACTTAATAATTAAAAATTATTTCACTCTCTCCACATATACAACTCAATCCTTCAACTTAATTAATCTTTATCCCCAACTCAATTTAACCTAAATATTTATTATAATTTAATTTATTTCAAAATATATCAAGTGTGGTCTCTATTTGTAGAGAATGAAAAATACAAATTTTAATATTTTTTTTATTTTTTTAACCAAAAAAAATACACTTATCCAATCAAAATGGGACATGTGTTCCATTTTCAGGCCGTGAGCCAAAGTCACAATGTGACCTGTGTCGCTGGTTTTTCACAACCTTACTTTTTTTTTTTTTTT